ACTCGGGAGGCAGAGGCAGGTGGATCTCTGTAAGTTCGAGACCAGCCTAGTCTAAAAGAGCTAGTGCCAGGACAGCCTCCAAAGCCACAGAGAAACCCTGTCTCAAAAAACCAAAAAAAAAAAAAAAAAAAAGAAAGAAAAAGAAAAAAATACTTCCACATCAACCATAGATACCATCTTAGAGTAAAAGGATGGAAAAATTATTTCAAGCAAATGGAACCAGGTAAATAAGCAGGAGTAGCTATTCTAATATCCAGTAAAACAGACTTCAAAACAAAACAGAAGAGGTATGGGGGTAGTTTGAATGTAAAATTTCCCCCACAGTGTCAACAGGGAGTTGCTGGCATTATTAGAAAGTCTGACTTTGTTGGAGGAAGTGTGTCACTAGAGGTATGGGCTTTAAGGTTTCCTATGCTCAGGAGACCAAAGAGTGTCTGAACCTAACAGACATCTACAGAACATTCAACTTAAGTAATAAAGAATGCAAATTTTCCTTGTAAGCCTATGGAACTTTCTCCAAAACTGATCATATATTAGAGCATATAGTAAGTCTCAAAATATACAGGAAAATCAATAACTTAATGATGCACATGAAGGACTTGGAAAAACATGAACAAACCAAAGCCAAACTCCAAAAAATGAGAAGAGACAATTAAAATGAGGGCTGACATTAATGAAATAGAAACAACAATGACAAGAAGAATCCATGAAAGGAAGAGCATGTTCTTGAAAAGATAAACAAGCCCTTAGCCAAAGGAACCAAAAGGAACAGAGACCTAAAGTAGTGCAATTAGAAGTGAAAAGAGAGACATCACAGTAGATACCAACGATATTCGGAAAGTCATATGGACATATTTAATTGGAAAATCTAATAGAAACAGACAAGTTCCTGAAAAGCATACAACATACTTCAATTATACCAAGTTGAAATAATCTAAACAGACCCATAACCAGACATGAGATTGAAACAGGGATAAACAGTCTCCCAACAAAAATTGACATAGGACCAGATGGAGTCACTGCAGAGTTCTATCAGAACTTCAAAGAACCAACACTAATACTTCTTAAATGATTTTCCAAAATATAAAAAAGGAAGTCTTCCAAACTCTTTACTTGAAGCCAGTATTAACTAAGCCAGATAAAGACACAACCAAAGAAAGAAAATTAAATGTTGATTTCTCAGTAAAATACTGGCAAGTCAAATCCAAGATCATTCTTCATGACCAAGTTGGCTTCATTCTAGATGCAAGGATGATTCCAACAAATGTTATCGATCACATAAAGAGCCTCAAAAACAGAAATCACATGATCATCTCATTATATTAGGAAGGGTGTTTGAAAATATCCAACATCCTTCCTGATAAAATCATGAAGAGGCTAGGGATGGAGGGGGCATACCTCAGCATAATGAAGACCATATACTATAAAGCTGTAGCTGAAATCCTGCTTAAGTGGAGAAAACCTCAAAGTGTTCCCACTAAGATCAGAAACAAGACAAGGGAGTCCACTCTCTCCACTCTTATTCAATGTAGTGCTTGATGTCTTAGCTAGAGAAATATGGCAAGAGAAGGAAATAAAAAAGTTACACACATAAAAAGCTGTCAGAGTATCCTCGTTAGCAGATGCTATGAGTCTATACATACAAGATCCCAAAGGACCCACCAAAACCCTTATAAAGCTGATAAATATTTCAGCAATGTGGCAGAATAAATACAGTTTAGTTTATCTTTTTAAAAGTAGTATTTTATAAATTCTTTGATAACTCCATATAATAATACACACACACACACACACACAGGCAGGATACAAAACTAACACAAAAATCAGTAGTCTTCTTCCGTTCAATGCCAAATATACTGAAGAAAAACAGAGGAAAACAATCGCATCCATAGTAGTGATAAACACACACACACAATACCTGGGAATAAACCTAAAAGAGGAGCTGAAAGGCCTATTCAATGAAAACTTTAAGACAACAAAGAGAGAAATTGAGGAAGACATCAGAAGGTGGAAGACTTCCCCATGCTCATGAATTGGCAGAATTAGTATGTTGACAATTCAGGTGCAATGCAGTCCCAGCCAAAATCCCAGACTTTTCTTAATAGACAGAGAAAAAAACCCTTAAATTTTGTATAGAGGCATACCTGCACAAAAGAACACAGCTGTAGTTAACCATACGTGATCTCATATACTACATAGCCATAGTAATACACACGGTGTGGCACAAACACGGATACTTAGATCAGTGGAACAGGATAGAGGACTCAGATACATCCCTACATACCTATAGCTACTTTGACAAAGATGTCAAGTGCATACAGCATAGAAAGACAGTGTTATCACAAATGGTTCTGGGAAATTGGATTTCAACACGCAGAAAAAAAATGAAACTAGATCCTTATCTCTCACCTTGCACAAAACTCAACTCTAAATGAATAAAGGACCCCAACCTATGATCTGGTACCTGAAACTGCTCAAGTTAAAGGTAGGGGTACATTTTAAGTTCTCGGCACAGGTAAATACACTCTGGTTACTCAAGGGGTAGGAGAAACAATTGATAAAGGGGATCTCATGTACTCAAGAAAATTGAGTGAAGAGGCAGTTCACAGAACAGGGAGTGGGGAAATCTTGGCCACCTACACATAAAACAGAGTATTAGTGTTTATAATACACAAAGAACTGAAAAAATTAAACACCAAGAGAAAACTATGCAATTAAAAAATGGGCAATGAAACTAAACAAAGAGTTCTCAAAAGAAGAAATACAAATGCCTAGGAAACACACACACACACAAAAGCATTGGACATCCTTAGCTACCAGGGAAATGCTGATTAAATACATTAAGATTGCACCTGGAGAGCTGTCAAGGAGGCTTAGAGGGTAAAGGACCAAGCCTGGTGACTTAAGTTCTAACCCAGAGCCACATAGTAAAAGGAGACAATTAAGTCCTCTGACCTCCACATACATAATGAGTGTTCATGCAACACCATCAATAAATAAATAAATGTGAGGAAAGATTCTATGGAAATGCATTATGGTAAAGTATCTTACATTCTAAGAGACTGGAACTTTTGTTGTATCTCACAGCTAGAGTTATATGCTTTGAGGTCACTTGGGACTTAAGACTGCTGTCCTACTATGTACTCAGCCTGTGTGTTTACCAGTGTTTAAGAGAATAATGTGACAACCAACTTTACTTGTGGTCTTAGTTAGGGTAATTTTGCGGCAATGAAACACCATGACCAAAAAGCAAGTTGGGGAGGAAAGGGTTTATTAGGCTTATACTTCCACATTGCTGTTCAGCACTGAAGGAAGTCAGAACAGGATAGAACAGGGCAGGATCCTGGAGGCAGGAGCTGATGCAAAGGTCATGGCGGGGGGCTTCTTACTGGCTTGCTTCCCCTGGCCTGCTCAGCCTGCTTTCTTATAGCACCCAGGACCACCAGGCCAGGGTTGGTTAGCCTGGGCGCGCCCCCCACCCCCCAGATCACTAATTGAAAAAATGTTTTACAGCTGGATCTCAAGGAGGCATTTCCTCAACTGAAGCTCCTTCGTCTTCAATGGTTCTAGCTGTGTCAAGTTGACACAGAACCAGCCAGTACTCTGGCCCAGGATTTCCATGTAATCAGCGTTTACAACCTCAGCTAATGCATAGCTGCAATCTTAAATCAGGTGCTCTCCCATGCACCCCGACCAGAACAACACATTTGTGTCTTCTGCTGAAAACAGCAAATAGAAGTTGAAAGCAATCCTCTAAATGAATATCCACCGTAAATGTTGAATGAAATGCTTATATTTATTGATTAATAGACAATGATGTTTGTAATATTGTTTGTTATCTGGACGGCTGGGGTCAGGTGGAGTCAGAGGTATAATCACTTGTAAAATTCTGTAAGATCAGCCGGCGTTGGTGGCACACACCTTTAATCCCAGCACTCGGGAGGCAGAGGCAGGTGGATCTCTGTGAGTTCGAAGCCAGCATGGTCTACAGAGCGAGTTCCAAGACAGCCTCTAAAACAATACAGAGAAACCCTGTCTCAAAAAACCAAAAAAAAGAAATTCTGTAAGATTTCTGCAAAGTATCCCTCATTGTCTCTGCATGTGATAATTTTTGTGCTGTTCAGTAAAAGAGAGAGCAAACCCCTGTGTTAGTGACACACATTCACACAACTGACAGACACACTGGGGCAGATTCACAAGACAGCCTCGAGGCGGGCACAGATTCAGATTTTGACAACAGTCAGAGGGGGAAAGACCAGAGCACTAAGGAGAGAATTTATGTCTGGTCTTGTTTTGCTTTAATGGCTCTCAGGGGAAATGCTTTTATTGCTTTCCTTAATGTGACACTGATGCATTGTTGGTGATTTGGAGTTAATCACTAATGCATTTAATCCAAGCAAGAGTCCATCTCACCCCTGTCAGCAGTCACACAGCCATGCTCGATTTTTGAATGGTAAGAAATTTAATGGTGGGTTCAACACTAGTTCTTGATGCATTTGCTGTGACCATATTTTTAATTTCTATGGAATCCAGGGCCTTGTGATTGCTAGGCAAGTACTCTACCACTGAAATGAGTTCCCAACCCCCATTGTGTAGATAGACTTAGCCTAACAAAGTTGGTTATGTAACCGTTTTGTTTTGGCTCTTTTTCCCTGCACTTAGCCTTAGCAAGTTAAGCTTTTTGGATGAGGTAGTTGGATCAGAGTCCGGCTATGCATGCAGCCCTGGCTGACCTAAAATTTGCCCTCTTGCCTCTGTCTCCCAAGTGCCTGTGCTACCATGATGGGATTTATTTGTTTGTTTTTAAGTGTTGTGAATTAACTCAGAGCTTTGTACATGGTAAACACGAACTCCATCACTAAGATACATTCACATTTGTGTGTGTGTGTGTGTGTGTGTGTGTGTGTGTGTGTGTGTGTATGTTCTAGTTTCCTTTCTGTTGCTGTGATAAAACCTTCTAGGGGGCTGGAGAGATGGCTCAGTGTTCAGGAACACATACTGTGTTTTTTCTTTGGCAGCACATATACTAAAGCTGGAACGATACGGAGAAGATTAGCATGGCCCCTGCGCAAGGATTTGTGAAGCATTAAAAAAAAAAGAACACATATTGCTCTTTTGGGACCTGAGGTCACATTCCAGCACTCATGTCAGGTGACTCACAACCACCCGTAACTCCAGCTCCAGGAGATCTCACTCTTCTCGTCTCTGGGGTTACCTGAACTCACATCCACAGACACATCATTTTTTTTTTTTTTTTTTTTTTGGTTTTACAAGACAGGGTTTCTCTGTTTTGGCGGCTGTCAGTCCAGCCTGGCCTCGAACTCACAGAGATCCGCCTGCCTCTGCCTCCCGAGCGCTGGGATTAAAGGCATGCACCACCAACGCCCGGCCCAGACACATCATTTAAAACAACAATAATAGTATTTTTTTAAAAAAAATTCACTGTAGCCAAAAGCAGCTTAAGGAGGGTTTATTTCATCTCTCCAGACAGGAACTCAAACAGGATCTTGAAGCAGAAACCACGGAGGATGCTGCTTGCTGGTTTGCAGGCTTATGCTCAGCCAGTTTTCTTTTTCTTTTGTTTTTTCCTTTTATTGAAAATAGATTCTTTTCTCATACACTATATCCTGATTACAGTTTCCCCTCATCTACTCCTCCCAGTTCCTCCCCACCTTCTGTCCCATCTAGATCCACTCCCCTTGTGTCTCTCATTAAAAAGAACAGGCTTCCAAGTGATAACAACCAAACCTGACAAAATAAGTATAAGATAAAACACAAATCATCACATCAAGACTGGACAAGACAAACCAACAGGAGCAAAAGAGCCCAATAGAAGGCACAAGAATCAGAGACCCAGAGACTAGAGAGATGACTCCGTGGTTAAGAGCACTGGCTGCTCTTCCAGGGGACCCAGGTTCAATTCCCAGCACCAGCATGGGAGCTCACAACTGTCTGTAACTCCAGTTGCTGGGGATATGATGCCATCACACCAATGCACATAAAATAAAATAATAAAAAAAAGAATCAGAGACCCAGTTGTTCACACACCCAGTAGTCCCATAGAAATACTAAACTAGTCAGCACTCGGGAGGCAGAATCAGGAGAATCTCTAAGAGTTTTAGGCCAGCCTATTCTACAGCTAGAGTTCCATGACAGGCTCTGGAGCTTCAGAGAAACCCTGTCTCTAAAAAATTAATCAAAACAAACGAAACTAAAAAACTAAACTGAAAACCATAATATATACACAGAGGGCCTGGTGTGACCAAGTAGACCCTGTGCTTGCTGCTTTAGCCCCTGTGAGTTCAATAAGACTTGCTCAGTGGATTCGGGGGGCCTTGCCCTCCTGGTGTCCTCCATGCCCTCTGTCCACACCTCCCCCCCTGCTTTTACTCTCTTTCGACCTCCTCTTCTGTGGGATTCACTAAGCTCTGAGGGGAGGGATTTGATGGAGACCTCCAATTTAGACTCTCTTTCTGCATGTCTGGCTGTGGGTCTCTGCATATGTTCCCCTCTGTTGCCAGAGAAAGCTTCTCTGATGATGAATGGATAAGGCATTGATATACGAGTATAGCAGTATATCGTTAGAATTTTTAATTTTTGACCAGCAGTGTTTGGTTTTACTGTAGATCTCTGGGGTATCTAGTTTCTGGTTCTTGGTCACCTAGGTGACCATGGAGTGGTCCCTAAGTCAAATCAGACATTCATTGGCTCCTCCTGAAAGTTCTGTGCAACCATTGCCCTACATACGTTGCAGGCAGGACAGATGGTAGGTCAAAGGCTAGTGTATACATTTCTCTTTTGGTAGCCTATGGAGTACCTTCCTGCACCAAAGACACTAGAACGTAGGGGCGAAGGTTCCATGGAGGCACCAGTTCAACTTCTCCATGTTCAATGAATTGTGTGGGTGTTATCCTCAGCAATGGGGCCTTGCTGTCAGTTTGTGGAGAGCAGCCTACTGTCTTAGCAACAGCTTGGGTTGTTTGGGGTTTCCATGGACTCTCCTTGGCCAACAACTCAACTGAACACAACCCAGTCTCACTACTGAAAGCCTTGATTGGTGACAAGGGATGGCCAGTTGGGACTCCATACCCCCATTGTGAGGAGACCGCATTAGGATTGCCTTCATATATTTTAGGAAGTTCCACGAGTTTCCACTTCATCCTCAAATGCCCCTCAATTCCTGACTCCACACCCCCAGCACAGGTAACAGCTGTGTGCCCGCACACCTAGCTTATCCCTGTGTGTTTTGGGGCTCTGCACTTAACCCTCTGAGAGTCTCTAGTCCCCTCACCTTTTCTTTTATACATACTCATCTATCTATCTATCTATCTATCTATCTATCTATCTATCTACCTATCTATCTATCATCAATCTATCTATCTACCTACCTATCTATCTATCTATCTATCATCAATCTATCTATCTATCTATCTATCTACCTACCTACCTATTTATCTATCTATCATCAATTTATCTATCTATCTATCTATCTACCTACCTACCTATCTATCTATCTTTCTATCTATCATCAATCTATCTATCTATCTGTTGTTGTTTTTGCTTTGTTCTTTTTGAGACAGGGTTCCTCTATGAAGTAGTCCTGGCAGTCCTGGAACTTGCTTTATAGATCAGGCTGGCCTCAAACTCTTAGAGATCTGCCTGCCTCTGCCTCTCAAGTGCTGGGATCAAAGGCTTATGGCACCCTTTCTTTTATAATGGAGTGGTTTGATTTTATTTGATAACACTTTTTTTAAGTATTGGTGATTAGAAGAAGGGCTTGCACATTTAGGTAAGCATTCTGCCACTGAACTGTGCAGCTGTTCCTTTTACTTAAATGTTACTTTTTATTTTGAGTCAGGGTTTCCCTAAATTGAAGTGCTGAATTCACTGTGTAGTCCAGGATGTAACCTGCTATTTATGATCTCGGTTCTTATTCCTTTCCACATGGCATGATCCACTCCTTAGTTTTTCAACAGAATATTAGTAAATCACTATGGTAGATTACTTTCTGGAAGGAATTCAGAAATTTTTCATTAATATCTAAAAAAATGAGCAAAATTAGCAACTCTTGTTTACTTTAATTTCTGATCTCCCAATCTGAAAAAAAAGAGATTTGTTTACTAATATTTCATACTTCCTATTACCTGTTTCTGCTGCTTATTTTAGTTATCTGTATTTTACTTATTTTGTGTGGGTGGTGGGGAGGGAGCATGTGTGTCGCAGCACATATGTGGAGGTCAGGGGACAACTTTCACGAGTAGGTTCTCTCTTCTACCATGTAGACCCCAGGAACTGAACTCATGTCATCAAGCTTGGTAACAAATGTCTTTACCCCCTGAGCCCCAACTGTTCTTATCCATTTTTTAAGGCAGGATCTTGTGTTTTGAAAGCTGGCCTCGAACTTTGTATGCAACTGAGGATGGACTTCAATTTCTGATCCTCCTGCCTCCACATCTGAAGCATGTACTCACTCCCATGCTCTGCTGTATGAGGAGCTGGGGCCTGAACCCGGGGTTTCGTGTCTGCTGGATAGACTCTACCAGCTGAGTCATACTCGTAGCCTTTATCTTCTTATACTTCGTGATTGCATTCTCCCAATTCAAGCCTGATTCTATATTAGACAGATTATATACTCATCTTCAGTCTTTTAATGACTTATTTATTAAATTATGTTGTACTCGTGTTGGAACATCCATTTATTGTTTTATAAAATTTTAAATTATTGAAATTTTTGTTATTTAATTATGTGCAGGTTTATGTGTCTGTATGTAGATCTATGTACTGAGTGTGGGTACCCAAGAAGGCCAGGGGCATCAGAGAGAGACCTCGTAGCACTTGGAATAAAGACACACAGGTCTCTCTCTCTCTCTCTCTCTCTCTCTCTCTCTCTCTCTCTCTCTCTCTCTCTCTCTCTCTCTCTCTCCTGGCAATAAAGGTGACAGCCCAAATGGTTGGACGTCTTATCTTGCATTTCCTGATACCTCAGACTTGTTTGTGGTGCAGACGTCACACTATGCAGCCCTAACTTACCTGACTGAGTTATGTAGCTGTAACTCACTACGTGGACCAGGCTGGTCTTGGACAGTGTAGCCCTGGCTTACCTGGCTGAGTTATGTAGCCATAACTCACTATGTATCCCAGGCCACTCTTGGATTCCCTCAGATTTACTTTTCTCTGCCTTCCAAATGGTGAGATTAAAGGCATTTGCCACTGCACTGGTCAGATTAGTTCCTCTTTGTGAGACAGTGCAAGGGTGAGGATGGAGGTGGGAGCAGGGGTGGGTGGGGTGGAGGTGGGGCAGGGGTGGGTGGGGTGGAGGTGGGGGCAGGGGTGGGTGGGGTGGAGGTGGGGGCAGGGGTGGGTGGGTGGGATGGAGATGGGAGCAGGGGTGGGTGGGGTGGAGGTGGGGGCAGGGGTGGGTGGGGTGGAGGTGGGGGCAGGGGTGGGTGGGGTGGAGGTGGGAGCAGGGGTGGGTGGGGTGGAGGTGGGGGCAGGGGTGGGTGGGGTGGAGGTGGGAGCAGGGGTGGGTGGGGTGGAGGTGGGGGCAGGGGTGGGTGGGGTGGAGGTGGGGGCAGGGGTGGGTGGGGTGGAGGTGGGAGCAGGGGTGGGTGGGGTGGAGGTGGGGGCAGGGGTGGGTGGGGTGGAGGTGGGGGCAGGGGTGGGTGGGGTGGAGATGGGAGCAGGGATGGGTGGGGGGAGGTGGGAGCAGGGGTGGGTGGGGTGGAGGTGATGGCAGGGGTGGGTGGGGTGGTGGTGGGGGCAGGGGTGGGTGGGGTGGTGGTGGGGGCAGGGGTGGGTGGGGTGGTGGTGGGCATGAATGGACCCAAGGTCCACTGACCTCACCCAACTAGACTCAGAGACGTTCTATTTTTCTTTCTTTCTTTTTTTTGAGACAGGGTCTCTCTATGTAGCCCTGGCTGTCTTAGAACTCACCATGTAGACCAGGCTGGCATCAAACTCACAAGAGCTCCACCTGCCTCTGTTTACTGAGCCCTGGGGTTAAAGGCGTGTGCCATGTGCCTGGCTTCATTATATTTTCCAGTATTTCTGCTGTAGTAGGTGTTTCAAAGGTCCCGGGACTTTCCTGGGTAAGGGGCATCTGTGAGAACA